TGGATGATAGCCTCAAGCTCACACAAGAATTCCAAAAGTTTCTAACTCCCCTCACGGATAACTATGACATGCGATTGCCATAATGTATGAGGAGATGAGGGAAGAATGAGGGTACCATCCAGTATGTGGGTTCGACACGCAAGAAAGTCGAACTCCATATATAATCTTGTGGTGGTATGCCGATACTTCCACTCTATTGCATCACACGATCTGATAAAATATCAGCTTAATCGAAGTTCAATTCAACGCAATATGAATTTTCGATGCGAGATGGCCAATGTCTTCTTTCGTTCAGTAAAATCATTACGGTTAGCGAGGATGATGTGTGCTTTGAGCTGACTGGGCGTGCGCAATAAGGTGGCTATCTAATATTGTATATTTGTTCATTAATAGAACCTTCGAGCGATGATAACATTGCAAAAAGAGGCATTTGTAGAACTTCTGTAAGGGTCATAAGTTGCATGAAATTGTTGACATTGACCCGTTGTTGATCTTGGTTGGTTTTTTTGAACGAGTCTTTATTTAGGAGTTCATCTACGAATTTCTCCCTCACGACCCGAACTGGCAACTACTCCCACGACCGCTCACGTTGAAACAGTTTGAGCGAATTCCATTCGTGAGAAGCTTATTCTTCAAATACGGCCTCACCTTTGTTGATAACAAATTGGAAAGCACTCTCTATGTGAGTATAATGTTGCCCAATTGTATGAACCTCGATTCTAAGCTTTTTTGAACCACTGAAGATTTCAGACTGACAAAACGGGTGCAACTTCAGTAGCGATAAGATTGCCAGAGAAGCCTGGCGACTCTCTGATCTTTCATTACAATCTCAAATTCTTTGAATCTGATGAAACTACCATCAATGGGTTGTCACTCAAACGATTTGTCATGCAATCTGTGTCAAATGGGGTATGCTTACATTATTATGCATATACAATCATTCAACACCTCATCTATGTATCTCTTCTTTTATAGGTGGTGACATTCCGCGTCCACGCTCCGACCACACACCCTTTGCTGCTAGACGTCTTTGCCAACAGTGTTTCCTCTTCGCACTATCTCACTGGACAGCCTATTAAGTTTAAAAGTGTTTGCAAATTCAAGGTGAGTACAAAAGGTGTATTTACCATACTGTAGTAAATGATAGTATTAAAGCTTTAGCTTCTTATGTGGGTACCAGCCGGATCGCCCCGGCTTACGCCAGGCTCTCCTCCTTCTTGTGTCAAACACCGTATCCCGAGAAATCCCGAGAAATGTTGAACTGAAGAATTTTACTCCCTTTTTCAAAGTTTATAGTCTTTAGGTTTTTTTTTCGTGTTTAGCTGAGTGAGGGTATAAAACTGAAACAGAGTTCCCTCTTTCTTCGATAATTGTAGTAAGTCTAATTCTCCACTCCTTTTTTGGAACAAATGGCAGTTTTCTGTGCACGAATTTTGACACAGGACTAACAGCGCAGTGCAAATGGTATTCAGTTAAAGTCGGTGCTTACGCCTTCGATTGGAAGTCTCGAACTTTTCCTCTCTATCTTTGCAATGAATACCCATCAAAAATCCAACTGTTGGACAATCAAAGATGATGCTGTGGAGATGTTCTGAGTGACGATAGCACCGTTATCAGATGCTCTTTATCAATGGACCCTTTTCTTTACGAAGATATCATTTATTGAAAATTTTAGATTACAGGCGGTCGAATAAGTTTTGTCGCAAACGACATCGAGCAAAG